GCTGTGTTCCACGTTAGAAGCCAGTCTCCGTCTCCATCTTCCCACCCCTCCAACATATTTCCAACATACCCCAAAGCCATCCTACAGCAGAGGCTCCGCGCTCTGAAAAGCTGCTTTCCCAGCGTGTCCTTCCCACCTGCCACCCCCAGCCAAGACCTTTCTTCATCAGCCTCCACAATCCAGAGCCTTCCGTACCTGCTACCAGCTGGCTGCGAGGATGAGCTGTCGATGCTCCCTCAGGTAAGGGCTTTGGGCCAAAGCCCAGCAGCCTGCGCAGACTGCGTTCAGCGGATGCAGAGTTGGCTCTCAACTAAACACATCAGCCTCACCGGCTCTTGCTGGGTCTTGGCAAGGGCAAGAGACTACACACAGAGCTGCTGGCACCTTTGCCTTCCGACCTCAACACTTCTTCTCCCGTGGACCCCCAGGGGCAGGCTCTCCGGGCTGCCCATGAAGTTTCACAGACCTGACCTAGGCTTCTTGGTCTTGTCCCCACCGCGAGTTTCATCTTCCTTTCAGATCCTACCCCACCTGTCCCAGGTCCCTTCCTCTCCCTAAGACATCATTCCTAAACAGAGCTGTTTAAAAGAAAGAAATCCAAATTGGCCGTGACTGTGGCATAGGCCCCACTGAGGACCCATTAGACTCCCTTGAGAAAGAACACCCTGGGCTGGTCAGCGTTCCTCTCCACCAGACAAACGTCTGCAAAGCCGGATGTCCTTGTTGGTCACATTATTGATGGGCCCTATTCTGTGCCACCACTCAGCCCCTCCCTGGGGATATATACAAGAACACTTTGGGGACACAGGGAACAATCCTAGCCAAACAGAGAGAGAAAGGGGTGCCGGGAGGGCTGAGAAGCTTGGTTAGGGCTCCAGCCTGCATGTGTTTCCAGGGTCTTCTTTGTACCCCTGATCCGGGGAGAGGCTGAGGTATGGAATCCAAATGGTCATCGGGGACCACAGGCCTGCTGGCCAGGGACTGGGAGGTTTGGGAGCCATGGGGAGCTATGGCTCTTTGGCCCCCGACCCCTTGCCCTCCTACTTTTGGACGGCAGAGAGGATGTAATTACCCTGGTCATGGGAATGGCTGGACCCGGCCGTCTTGGACACAATGGCTTGGCCAGAGCACGTGGGCGAGCCCAGGAGACTGGCTCGGGTCTGCAGCTTCCTGGGAGGAAGTGAGGCATTGTTTCGGGGGTTGTGTGGGCCCGCTGGAACTCCACACAATGCAGGGAACGGGGCGGGGTGGGGGGTGGGGGGGGTGCCAGGTCCAGCCCACCGACAATCGGGAACTTGTTTATTGCCTTAATGACCCCATGGTGGATCCACCTGGAAACAGACCTGCTAATGAGCGGAGACAGAGCTGGCACAACCCCAAGGGAAGCCTGTCGGGCCAGCTCCCCTGGAGGTGCTAAGGGTGTGTGGTCTGAGACTGGGAGAGCTGGGAAGTACGGCCTGGGATCCGTCTGGGAAAACCACAGCGAGATCTTATGCCTCTCCATCCGCATCTGCCTGCTCTGCGGGGTCAGGAGACAACAGAGTGGGGGAAGGGGCCACGAGGTTGAGAACGAAAGGCAGGATGGAGCTTCCCATTCCAGCCTCTGCTCCAAACTGCTGGTGACCTTGACCAAGCTGTCAAAGCTTTCTGGGCCTCAGTGTCCCCATCTTTCAGGAAGGGATACCAAAATCATTCCTGCCATCTCCCCACTTTCCCAGGGTGTTGAGAGGATAAGGTAAGATCAGACACAGCAACTGCTTTGAACTTCTTGGAAGAAAAACCCTTTCAGACATCAAGGCTTTACACTGTTTGCTTCTTTCCCCTGTGGCTGGAACCTGGGAGCTTGGGGAGATGTACTGTCTGGGATTTGGTTTTCCTAGACTGTTTGTCAGACACCTGCCAGGGACTGAGACGGAACTAAAATCTGCCCCCGCATCAAGGACATCTGGGAGCCAAAGGTGGGCAGCATAGCAAGGGGCAATGGTATGCTGTGGCCAGCTCATGCCCGTTCACGAAGGCCAGGTGCTGAATGTTCAGGAATGTTAAATCCATTGGTAACTTGCAATCAGCCACTGTAGCAGTTTTTACACCATAAAAATTAGTAGTCTCTACACATCAGGACCTTTTTTTCTCGAGAGCTAGTTTTCCAGCCAGTCTGCAGACGGCTCCTCAGAATTGCGGCGCCCCCGCTAAAACCCCCACCCAGGTCTCGCCAAGCGGGTGTGGCTTCTTTGCTCTCCGGACACAGACCCCCAGGGACTGGAGACCTGCGTAGTTAAGAAAATGGCCCCGGTGCAAGTGCAGGCAGCAGCGGGGCAGGGGTGACCAGTGAGATGGAGGTCACTGGACTCCAGGGCTACAGCTAGGACAGTCGTCTCTTCCGTACCAGATTGAGATCGCAAACCAAAGCTCCGTTTGGGTGCTGAGGCCCGCTGCCAGTCTGGGTGTTTCTTTGCTCTAGTTCCAACACAGCAGGGGTGGGGATGGAGGGCTGTGGTTAGGGGACCACATGAGTTGAACGTATCAGGCATTTATGAGGATACTCATAGGAGCATAACTCAGAGATCTCATCAATTACTTGAGGAGTTGCTTGTTTCTTTGCTTGTGTTTTGGGGGGCTTATTTTTAGTCCAAGAAGTTTCTTCCCAGGCTGAAGAGGGGTGATGACCATAGATCCTGCTGACGGCCTCTGACACGGCAGGCCGTGGAGGCTGAGGGGACAGCTCGGAACCTGCAAGCCAGGATACCCGGGCTCTCGTTCTAGCTCTGCCATTTGGTCTAGGGCAAGTCACTCGGGTCTCTGTGGGCCCCCATTTCCTCGCCTGTATTCTGTCGTCATCAGTAGGCCCTCTGGGAGGGACCCCAGCTCCACGTTCTCTGACGCTGAGTTCATCTTTGCTGACCTTTGGTTTCTCTTTTCAATGTCTCCACTCTAACCAGGTGGCACATTAGCTCGGGGGAATAGTCTTGTGCCATAGGATGTGCCATAGGATGTCTTTCAGTTCAGGCATTTGCTCCAGAGTCTGGGAGGTCCTGGGTCTAAATCTTGGCTCTGGCCTCTCGCTAGCTGTGTGACCTTAGGGCAGATTCTTCTCTGATCCTATCACCTCATCTGAGAGATAAGAGTCATCAGAGAGGCTTCCACTGGGATTTATTGAGGGAATCCAATAGGGTAATTCACGTAAACTCTGGCCACACACCCTGGCACACAGTGGGCGTGGAACAATGGTAGCCGTGCTCACGCTGAGCGGGTACTGCTCTCTAGAGCAAGACACTGGCAAGCCCAGGAGGGGCCTGCCGCTTAAAAGAGGTAGGAAACCTTGAATCCCCTGTCGGGGTATCGATGCATCACCCTGTAGTCTTACCAGGGGATTTCAACCCAGCAAGTGAAAGTCACAACCTCCCAGAGGAGACCCCCACATTGTCATAAGGAAATGCATAATTGATCTGAGGTGGAGAGGCAGGGCACTCTTTGACTTGTCCCCAGCCCTCTTGTTTATGACACAGCTCATCTCTGCCCTTCCTCATCGCTCCGGACAAATGAGGTCATGCGGGTGAGCAAAATGAAATCAGTAAAAATGTTTTAGAGTATGCTATAAGATGTATTATTATCACAAATAGTAATATAATTAATCTCCCTGGCCCAGGACAGCCCTGGGAGATTTACTGGTGGGTAAAAGAATTTTACCAGGGAGGATTGTTTGTTTTCCAGCAGGAGCCTCCGTGCCTTGGGGACAGAGTGGAGCGGAATGTCCAGTGTAGTTCACAGTCCTGCCTTCCACCCTCCCACTCGTCCCTCCACTGGGAAATCTAAATATATTTCTAGGGAACCTCATTCCTCCCGCCCTGGTTTCCTTTCCAGGGCATGCCTGGGAAAGCTCTCAGAACTTGGGAGTAAAGGCTGCTGTAGGGACGTGCCTGAGCGCTTCTCCTCTCTGACCCTGGGCTTTGGTCCCCAGGAGGGCTGATCACAGTCCGGAGGCCCAGGGGCTGAGATGGCCCAGAGAGACAAAAGGTGTGGCAGTGACAAGGAGGGTGAGAAATGCAGTAAGGTCAGTGGTGGGGTGGGGTTGGGGGCCCCCACAGAGAGACGGGGAGTAAACAGCCCAGCCACTGTCCCCAGGTCCACCTGGCTGAGGCTGAAGGCAGGGCTCCGGGGCTCTGGGGCGGGTCAGCTTCGGCTCCGGCCAGCCTGGGGTGGGGCAGCAGTGACAAGGCTCCTCGACAACAGGATAAATAATCTTCAGCTGCAACAATAAAGATCAATTATGACCTAATCGCCCAGCCCAGTTCCAAAGGCCCGGGGGGTGGGTCTCTTTCGGCCTGTCCCTCCAGGTTTAATTACCTGAAGAGTCTTTGGACTTTGGGAGACCCAAAAGCCAAAGAAGATCTGCAATAATTAAGCCAGGGAATGGCCTTCACCAAAGAAGTGTCTGTGGGCATGGGGCAGCGGGCAGAGGGCATGGTAGGTCCCCCCTGGGTGCAGGTGTGTGGGGCGGGCGTGGGGTGGGGACGGAGAACAGAAGCAGAGGAAGGGAGGCAGTGAGGCAGAGAGCTCCGAGGTCAGGAAGGAAACCCGAGTGAGCCTGAGAGGCATTCTCCGCCCCGTGAGGCAGGAACACGGGGAAGCCGCCCTCTGAGGACCCCTCTCACCCGGGAGTCCCCTCCGGTGTTCATGGCACATGTGCACATGCTGGAATGGTTGGCAGTATCCTTGAAGGGACTGAAGCGGCTCAGAACAACACTAACCAAGCCAGCGTGGTTGTCGCACTCACCGCTGCAGTACACAAAGACGCGGGGTCCAAGAAAGCACCTGCCCTTGTCTCCCACTCGCCCTGACTTGTCAGCCTTGGGGTACAGCTGTCTCTCTCTGACACCAGCCTGGCAAAGCTCTGCCTGGCAAAGCTCTGCCTGGCAAAGCTCTACCTGGCATTACGGCTGTACCCTGCTTGGTACCAGCTGACACAATGTGCCCAGCTCCACATGCCGCATGATACACGTCACCGATGGGATCTGCATCTCTCTTCCACCGTGTTGGCCCCTGGATTCTTGACCAGCCCCTTCGGCATCGCAGCTCCTGAGAGGACAATGGAAGCCACCATTCTACAGATGGGGCATGTGAGTGTTCGTTTTCTATCCAGAGGTGGCTCTTTGGACTCCCGTGTGCTTTCTAAATGAATTTTCACATTGTTTTTTTTTTTTGCTAGTTGGGTGTACCTTTATGGGGGAGGGGGGGCGTATACCTTTTGTTTTGGTTTTTAACTAGGCTTCATGCCAGCGTGGAGCCCAGGGTGAGGCTTGAACTCACAACCCTGAGATCAAGACCTGAGCCGAGAGCCAAGAGTCGGAAGCTCGAGCGACTGAGCCACCCAGGTACCCCGGGTATGCCTTTATTAATGACGGTTTTACATGTGTCCCCGCATCCTATCACCGCCATGACGGAGGCTCACCCTGGGTTAAGTTGTGTGCCCAAGCAGCCCGCTGGGAAGAGAAGACAGAAGACAAGCTGCCTGTGAGCATGAGACCCATCCCCCACTCTCGCACGGAGGTGCTGCTGTGTTTTAAAATCACCTTGGTGGATTTATATATTAGTGTTCTTTTCTATTTTAAAAGCGCTTTCCCATTGTGCTTTGGCTCACTGGGGCAATGCTGTTCTCCTGGTTGCGCCGATAGGCTTTTCAATCAAAACCAAACAACAAATCCACATGCTTCTATTTTTTTATAGATCTCTGCTTTTTCAGGAAAATAAATATTTGTTGAATTGAAGTAGAAAAATTTTTGAGAAAGATGTTTTTGTACCTAGTGTATCTTGCTGTTGTTGTTGTTAAATAAGTGCTTTCGGTGACAGGGCTTTTGTTCTGAGAAAGAGCTTTTTACGGTGGGGGTAGGAGGGTGTTGTGCGTCCGGGGCGGGGGGGATGTGTTGGGAGTTTCAAAGGAGAGTCTCGAGCCAGCAGTGGCCCCCCTCTTCTTTCTCTTCTCCTCCCCTTTGTTTCTGCCTCCTAATTCACATATTCCCTCCTGTTGCCAATGTGATCCCACCCCCCAAACCCGCCACAACTTGGCCTTCCAGCCGCTATATGGTAGGAGAACAAGGCAGACACTAATGCAGCTTGCTAGTGTGCATTACGGACTAACGAGGGGGAGCAGAGGTCCCGGTACATTGGAAGCCCCACAGAACCCATTTGCTCCAGTGTCCCACCTTGAGACGAACAGAAATTTGTTCTGGGGTTCAAGTGCTTGACAGCTAAGGTCCCTCCTTCCATCCCAAGCCTATTTCCAGGTGCCCGCAATTCACCAGGCTCTCTCCAAAGATCAATTCACACATTGGGTTTTACTTAGGAGCAAACACTAATGTGTACGGGGTACAGGATGAATCCCACCCCTTCCTCAGCTAGTAGGGAGCAAGGCCCTAGGGACAAGGACACCGTGTGGCTACAGGCCAGTCCCAGCCACCTGTCACAGGGCCTCCCTCTCTTGTGACTCATCTCGCTGAGGGCCACAGGGCCAGCGCTCTGCTAGATCTTTGGAGATGCAATGGTGAAGAAGCACAGTCCGGGCCCCCCAGAGTCCAGCATCTGGCGGGGCAGACACTTAGACGATCGGTCACACCAATGGATGGCAAATGTTATGGCGGGAGAAACTCTGGATCCTTAAAAGATGTATGGGTTTTCACCAAAAGCAGAAGAAGGGAAAGGCATCCAGGAAAAAGAACAATGTGTGAAATAGGATGACTGAAAAGAAACTTCAAGTCGTTTGGTAAGACAGGAGGGACAGCTGTAGAGAAGTGACGGCAGGAGATGAGAGCTCTTTGGGCTCATTTATTTATGCCAAGCACGGTTTTAGATGCCGAGCAAGAGACAAGCTCCCTCTCTCATGGAACTTCTATTCTAGTGGGAGAGACAGATAACAAAAACCAAACAAACATAACAGAGTGAGAAATGCTAAGCAGAGAATTACTGCAGGAGTCATAGGGGCACTCCTTTGGGTTGGGCAGCCAGGAGAAACTTTCTGGAGAGAGCTGGATAAGAAAGTTGGCTCTAGGGGTGCCTGGGTGGCGCAGTCGGTTAAGCGTCCGACTTCAGCCAGG